TTATTCACGCTGTTAAATTTGTTCTGTTTTTGTGCAATATTAATTTTTTTTCCTTCTCTTACTCATTTGCCACCTTTATGTGTATCATTATTTCTTTCCAACATATAACGATTCATATCAGTAAGCTATAAATTTCTTCATCAAATTTAAAAAAAAAAGCAAATCGAGAGATATCAAATTTGCATAGTTAATTAGATGAAAAATTTAGTAGAATTATTATTTAATTCATCTATTCTTTTTTTTTTGTGTATTAGCTTAAAGAATAATAGGTAAACAAAAAAAAAAGAATTTTTAAGAGAGCAAGATGAAATTGTGAGATTTATTGCTAATTTCTACCTTTCAAATGATACTCTACTTTAACAAGGCTCATTGGTAATTTACTCGACTTTCGTGTATTCCATGTCAATCATGATACTGTGAATGAAAGCGTTCCGATGCCAAAGCAAATTTTCGATGATATGAATCGTTATAAATCAATATGATCAAAACCTAGTGATAGATTCAAAAAGATTTCATAAGAGCGTTTATTATCTTAGAATCGTTCCTTACTCACTGATACAAAGCTATGTAAAATAAGTTGAATCAAAAGCAATTCATACAATCAACAAGCTCTCCATGACATAATAAAAGGATATAACACTTTGTATTCTATACTACAAAAAAAAAAAAATGAATCCCTTTTAAACTTAGCAGTGGTCAGATTTCGTGTGTTCTAAATTTTTTGAATATCCATAAAAAAGATTGTACCACATTTGCCATCCCAATTTCTGAATATAAGACACAATTGTAGTTGTTTAAACCTTGGTAGGTAAGGAAGCTTCTCTGATCAAATATCCTATTATGAGAGAAATGTAAAATAAGCTTCAATAGTTTAATTTAAGATGTTTTTCTTCGTAAATAGATGAACAAAACAATCTGAAAATGAATCATCATAGGTTATGTCGTCTTCTTCAAATTGAGCAATAACCAAAAACAATTTTATTCAACTTTTGTATTGTGTTAGAGTATGTTAACTATGACTCAAAAAGACAATTGTAGGATATACTCAGAATCTAAACTCTATGCTATTCATTAATCAATCTAATGATTTATAATTAATGCGTTTTTACGTGCATCTCTTTTCGACAACTATTTGACGGAATTCATACTATAGAGATAAACTTTTTATTATCATATGCAAACAGAAGTATATGGAATGTTTATTTTTCAAATATATATTCTCTCTTTCTAAATCCAGTGATATTTTGTAAGCATTAAAAGCGTATCGGTAGTGAAGAAACAACATAACGAGCAGTTTTTTTTAATTATGAGTTTACAGCAATATTCAATTTTTTTGTTCTCCAGAATTGTCTGCGTTTCAAGGAATAGCATTGTAATTATTGATAAAGCAAGCATAATTTTTAAAAGATTCTTCATCGGAGACTCGTTGCTTTTAAAGACAGTACACTAGTTATTCTCTTCTGTTTGATAGATTTTCTATTATTCATATATTATATTAGTCTCGACAAGACGAAGAAAATTTCTAGATATAGGTTTATACACTGATACTCTTTAACTACAAGTGAGTATAGCCCAACATTAATATTTCATTCGAAGTAACTAAATAGACAAAAATTCGTAGGATAAACTAGTGAATTCGCATTTTGCTACAATCTGAAAACATTATTTGTGTCTAACTCGTGAACAAATTATACAATGGACTTATCTAACTATAAATTGTTGTTGTTATATATCTGTTGAAACCACTCTCCATAGTCCTACACTGATAATCAAGTAACTAACGTACATTCTCCTAATATAATCAGAAACGTTTCAAGAGATCAATGGATAGAAAGTCTTAACATGTTTTAGATAGTTAGGATGTGAATGTGAATGTTCCACTCATACATCCACACCCTAATATTTCTTGCATTTTTATTACTTAATTATATTTCGTTTAATAATGTTACTATTAAAACTTACACTCATGACTATTTTCTTCGAAAATATATATGAGTTTCACAAAACCTCGTTTATTGACTTCATACACGAAAAGTGTATACATTCACGGAAATATACGATTATGATACGGGACCGTATATTACGGTAAAAAATGAATATATAAAAACTTCGGATTCGTCGATCTGAATCGTTTTATGTTAGTATATTATTCTTATGAATGTCAATGTTGAAAAATGAATTCAATTATTGAAAATACTTTCAGATACTCAATTATTTAACAATTGAATCACTGAATACCTTTACGTCAATTATTAAATACTTGAATATTATTCAATTGTTTGAATAGTTGAGTTCAGTTGGACGTATATGTTTGATCACACACACATATATATATGTATAAGGAAACTAGAATTTGGAAAAATTTATTCTTGATAGATGCTTAGTTTTACGTTTGAAAAATCTTTATCTAAAAAATTAAAAATGATGTTAGTAAATTTCTCCTTATCATTAGCTGTGTTTATTGATGAAAATTTTTTTATATATTATTTTGTTTTTCTTTATTTGTTGAGATAGAAAAACTAATAAGAATGATATCATCTTTATATTACAACATGTTGTCTAAAAATAAGCTATTCATAATTTATACTGAAAAGAAGAAAAATATAAAATCAGTAATAAATTTGAATGATATCATACAAAGAAAATTAGTAATTTAATTAAGCAATAAACTTTTATGTGTATTTAAATGAGACATTTTTTATTTACAGATAATCTATTTGTTTTTTTTTAGTACGATCCAAACGAAAGATCTATAGTTCAATTGATCTCTCTATTTTATGATACACTTACAATCAATTTATTAAAACTCATCTTAAAAAAAAAAAACTTTCCACTAGTAAATTTGTTTTTTCTGAAATTATCTTTTATAATCTTTTCAAATGTATTGGATTTTTTTTTTTATTTAAAAGTTGAGTACTTTTTTTTTGTTTTTGAACTTCTATTTAATATTAGAATAAAAATGAATCGTTTTTCTTTCATTTATCAAAAGAAAACTATTTTTATAAACTTTTCTACTAATACAAACTTAACATTTAGACATTATGTATTAATATTTTAAAAAGAAAAAAAAATGTGTGCTGATTAAGACAAGAATATTTATTGTAAAAAGCTTCAATTCTATGAAACATAATAGTATCATACGTCATTCAATAAAAACAAAAAAAAGTCAGCAGATGTACGTCATTGTTTTATGTGCAATTTTCTACATTATTCTAAAAGAAATTAGCAGAAGTATCTTTTTGGCATCAACAAATGACGTTTCATTTTATCTTCTTTTTAAAAGCTTTCTGGATAAAAAATGTATAGATTTTGTCATATATTCAAAGGTGAATATACAAATATAAGCGATTTAATTTTCTTAAATTATAGAATTTTTTTTCTTGATTGACTGTAAACTTAATGCACAAGAAAAGTTCTTAATCGTCTTATTTTTAATAAGTAAAAGATCAGATTTATTTTTATTTAGATGTAAGAAGAAAAAAATAACGAACTTGTCTTGTCATACACATAATAAATGGTTAAAACTACGTTAAAAATATTGTTTATTGATGAAATTTTTATTTTAAACATTTTTTTCATAGTTTGTCTTTCAAAATTTTAAATGTTTCAATGCTGAATATCCGATAATTATAGACATATTAAGAAAGTTAATGTTAATCTCTTAAAAATCTGTGCTTCTACACAATTTTTAATGGATATTAGTTTCTAAATTCAAACATAGTTATATATATATATATTTGCGTATCATTTAGCTATTGTATGCACAAGTATAATAATTCAAGCTAGATAATCATCAATATCGAACGGGCAACTAAATACTTAAAATAACTGCAAACCAAATTTTGACTTCGACTAAGATTTTTACATACAATGTTAGTTATTCATTTTAATATTTCTCTAAGTAGAAATGACATGAAAAAGTATCATGCTATTATTTTTTGTCTTGTAGATTTATATATCACGATCATAGACTTTATTTTTATATAGTATTCGTTTTGATATTAGCTGAATATTTTTTACAAGAAAAGTTTAAATACTTTATTTGAATATAGTTAAGATTGCTTAAGAATTTTTTCAATGAAAAATGTATGTCTTCCAATTTTATTGATCATTATTAGAAATAAGGAACTCATTACTACTGACTTAATAATCAATCGACAATGTACTGTTGGCGATCGAGATCTAAATAAGTTTAAAAAAGTTAAACGATTAATAGATTCAAAATAGATATTATCAAATCATCAAGAAATTTATCAAAAGACTCACTTTAGTATTGAACGAAGTACATTTTTCATTAAAGTAAATTCTAATCAGTCTTAATTATATTGAAATCAAGTACTAAAGACATTTTTTAATGAAAATTCATTAGAAACCAAACACACATAGAATACAGATTAAAAGAGGAATGAAGTAAAATTATTTTAGTGCTGCATAGCTCATTTTTCGGAGTAGATTTTTCGAAGAAAATATATTGAATGAAAATTTCACAACCAAACTTTGATCCTTCATAAGATTGTATTGAAAAGTTTTTTTTTTTTATTTGTATAATATATGACACTATCAAAGTTTTATGTCTAAGAATAAATTATAAAAGTGTTCTTGAAAAATAATTATCTCTTATGGAGATAAAAGACTTGAGTCTTTTCTCTAATCTCATAATAATATTACGTAGCACTTATTTTCCAATTGCTTAAATTTTTATTTGACAATATTTTATTTCTTTAAAAAGATTTCTTTGATGTTTGAATAATTTCAGAAATCAAAGCAATTGAAATTCATTTTCATAACAATTGAGTACAATTATTTATCTGATTGATGTTTATTCACATTTGCTAAGTTATACTTTTGAGAGAAAAAAAAAAAGCATCGAAGAAAAATATTTCTACTTCTAAATATAAAACATAAAATATATATATATACGTCTTTTTTATTTTTTGTCGATTTATTTGAATATAAAAGAAAAATAGATTTACATATATATTCAAAAGAGAATATTAACAATGTCGTTTAATTATTCTTCAATTATTGATGAACATCTTTCTCGTGATGATTCTTTATTTTGGAGTCGTCCAACACCAGTTAATTGTACTCCAATTCGTATTGTTGGCATATTTTTATGTATTGCTGCAGTGATTGGTACTATTTTGAATGGAACTCTATTTTACAGTTTTGTACGATACAAAACTCTTCGTTCATCACCAAATATATTCGTGATGTTTATTACGGGTATAGGTCTTTTTGCTTCATGCACAATTCTTCCATTGACAGGTACATCTTCAATTTATTGTCAATGGTTATATCAACGTATAGGTTGTCAATTAAGTGCTATTATTGCATATTTTTATGGATGTTCAAGTGCTTATTTACTCTGTGGAGCAAGTCTTAGTCGACTTTATATTATTATTCGACCATTTCAAGCTAAAAATGTTACTGTACGTAAATAATAATTGTTGAAAAGAAAAAACAAATAATGTTAATATAACTCTAGGTGAAAAATTGTGTCATTATTTCCAGTCTTCTAGTACTTATTGCTTTTATTTGGACTATTCTACCAGTAATTGGATGGAATGAATATACAATGGAGGTAACTGCTGATTAGTTTGTTTTTGTTATTGTGAATTTAAATTATATTCATTGTGAAATACAATAACTATCTTCATTTTTTGTTTTATTAGGGAACTCGTACGTCTTGTTGTATAAATTGGTACGATCGACGTACTTCTTATGTTACATTCATTGGTTTTCTTTTCGTTGTTGTCTATTGTATTCCACTTATAATTCTATTTACTGCAAATACAATAACTTGGTTTGGACTTAAACGAATGAACAAAAAAATAATAAATGGTTTTCAAACAGTATTTACTCGAAGACGAATTGAAATGGAACGACGAATTCTTAAAAGTAAATATTTATTATTATTGAATTGAATTGAATTATTTCACGAAAAAAAAATATATATATATATAATTATTTTCTTTTAAACTAAATTTTCATAATATTTTAATTTTTGACATAGTGATTATAATTACGACTATTGGCTTTATTTTTACATGGACTCCTTATGCAGTAGCATTTTTTCTTTCGGCATTTCGAGGTAAAGATTATGCCATACCACCAATGACAGTTTTCATTTGTGCATGTTTTGCTAAAACATCACTTATATGGATTCCAATGATTTATGCTAATACATCGACACAATTTCAATTAAATTTTATCACTCGAGATGTATTAGATCAATCAATCGGAACTACACGATTTGGTGCAGCAATACTAGTCAATATACCTATATTAACTCGAAAAAGTGATGACCTGGTAATGAATGCTGTTATTGACAATTCGAGTAACTTATAAATTATCTATAATAAAATTTATTAATAAATATTCTTGTCTATTCAGTAAACTATATGTCTATATTTATTTTTGTTTTTAAACATAATTTTTAATTGTTTTAGTACCATAATTCAGCTAATGATAGGAACTATGGTTGAGTACTAACTTTATTCAATACGCAGTCTCCAGCCAGCTGTCCGATAGGGTGTTGTCTATTTGTCTGCGAAGCTGAAGCCATTGAATGGAGGAACTCTGAAATAGGCTGACTTTCTTTCTAGAGTTACAGCTAGTCATACTTGTAAGAAAAATATCTAGCTATTGAATCTATTGCTAGACAATATCTCATACTACGAGGTAGCTGAATGGCAGTGATATTGCAGAGAAAATAGGCGTATACATTTGTACTACTCAATTATTCAATATTATCACTTGAGTTCTCAGCTCCAGTATTCCGATACTCGAAGTTCAGCATGGGTACGCATGATTAATACTCAAAAATCACAAATATTTAGTTCTTTTTATGCACATATATATGAATATTTTCACTGTGTGTCATTTTAGTTACGAAAGTGAAGATTGTTTTACATGATTGACTGTTCATTCTGCAATTAGATTATAAAATAGAAAGAACATTCAAATTTAATTGCAACCATTTTAAAAAATGACATTCTATCTTTGGTTGTTAAGAAATCAACATTATCACCGGACAAAACTATGTGATGATTGATCAGAGATGTACCGACAGGAAAAAAAGTGGGGGTCCTAGTATATAAAACTTAATGTTGTCTTTATTTACAAGAAACAACTATTTACATTTCTCGATTTTTTCGTTGAAAGTAACGACCAAGGGAGGGGGAAAGAGCAGGGTTAGCGTCGCAATAGTGGAGCGGTCTGGATCCTCCTTCACCCTCCCCATGGGCACATCCCTGTGATTGATTTTTATTTTGTCGAGATGCATCTAACATCAAAAACCCTAATTATCTATTTTGATTTCGTATCAACATGTGCTATAATTAATCGGTTGCTTAAGTCAATAGCTTTACTATTCGTGAAGTTATTTAATTTGCAGTTACTGCCGGTGTATGTTGAATAAGTGACAATATATAAGAGAAACTCTTCTTCGTCATCAAACCTAAGTATAATCGATGACGTTAAGTATGGATGTCGCTGCAACTGCACACGAATTTCTTTTCTAAATTCTCACCCACAAACACACATTATTAAATTATCAAACTTTTTTCGTTCTTTAGTACTACGTTACAATATTCTTAATACTTACTCATTGTTTACCTGGACTCATATTGACACGAAAGGGTGAAACACATCAGTTTTCGTTTTTTTTATCTTTCTTTCACATTATCCTTTCTTACAAACTTATGGCAATGGTAACTGGAAAAGCACGTTGTGTTACATGTGGAAAAGAAAAAGCTACAACAAAATGTGGAGGTTGTTCACAAGATTTTTGTTTCAATCATTTAACAGATCATCGTCAAGAATTGGGAAAGCAATTCGATGAAATTGAAGTTACTCGTGACCTATTTCGACAGATACTAACGGACAAAAACGATAAATCACAAAACCAAATATTAATACAACAAATTAATGAATGGGAATGTAATTCAATCAAAAAAGTACAACAATCAGCAGAAAATGCACGACAAATAGTATTCAAACATACAACTAAACATATTAATAAAATAGAAATGAAATTGAACAAAATGACAGATCAACTACGAGAAAGTCGTCAAGAAAAGGATTTTTTTGAAGCAGATCTCAAACTATGGAAAGAAGAGTTGGAACGACTAACAAAAGAACTTCATAATCCGCTGCAGATTACATTTCAACAAATTTCTTTACCACTTGTATCTAATATCTATGTCGACATACCATCTAGTAAGTATATTAGTCATATTTAAATTAAAAAAATTAGGTACATAATAATAAAAATTTCTACTGACAATGGAGGTATGTGTATTGTTGAGCGAAAAAGTGGCACATGCTCGGGTCAAATGAAAACTCTCAACGCCAAACTAACAAGGTTAAAATATCAGCGGCCGTTGGCTTGCCTAGAGGGAGATATTTAACTTTTAAGTGTAGGTGTAAAAATGAATCAGGAAAGGTTTTCTCCACTATTATAAGGACAAAACATAGTGTTGTTCGGGACGATTAGGGGGTTTGTAAGGACCCTCTTTCATATGACCCGAACAACACTATGTTCTGTTCTTATAATAGAAGAGTGAATTTTTTCTGTAGGTCATGGAAACGGCATTTTCTATCAATCACTAGAAAAATTCACTCCGCTATTACAAGGACAAAACATAGTGTTGTTCGGATCATATGAAAGAGGGACCCTACAAACCCTATAATCGGCCCGAACAACTATGTTTTGTAGTTATAGTAGCGGAGTGAATTTTTCTAGTGATTGATAGAAAATGCCGTTTCCATGACATACAGGAAAAATTCACTCCGCTATTATAAGGACAGAACATAGTGTTGTTCGGGCCATATGAAAGAGGGTCCCTACAAACCCCCTAATCGCCCCGAACAACACTATGTTTTGTCCTTATAATAGTGGAGAAAACCTTTCCTAATTCATTTTTACACCTACACTTAAAAGTTAAATATCTCCCTCTAGGCAAGCCAACGGCCGCTAATATTTTAACCTTGTTAGTTTGGCGTTGAGAGTTTTCATTTGACCCGAACATGTGCCACTTTTTCGCTCAACAATACACACACCTCCATTGTGAGTATTTATTTTAGTTAATTATTATATTACATTAAAAGAACATTTACATCATTTATAGTTTTATTTTCAAATAATTATCGACAAATATGAATAATATCGAGTTCATTATTCTAATAAGTGTTCTTGTTAGAATACAGTTCAACACATAAAAATATGTTTCGAATTTCATCTCATTTAATATCGATTCTTACATTTCTTCATTGACATACATCTAGAAAAAATGTTTGTACAGTTTGATAGAAAATTAGTTCTCTTCTTTCGCATAGTGTAGAGTTTTTCTCGTCACACATTCATAATCAAAACAACACAGGAAATATTGGCGCGAAAATTCTTTAGATTTTCATCGATATATATCAGAGAAACCTTATAAAACAATGCTTATTATTTTTACGACATGTACTCAAAGAGAAAAAAAGGATGTATATTATACTGATCAAGTGTTTGCAACATGAAAGAACGAAACTTGTTGAACATAGCTTGATCATTCTATAAAAATTATGGTACTCTAAGTTACCTCAATATTTCAATTTTAACAATCAACTGTTAGTTCTCATTTTAGTCGATAGATACTGGTGAATATCATAAAACTGTTTAAAAATGCATAATAAACGCACATAAGTCGTATATTTCGAAGTATTTTTGTAAAAAAAATAATAATTAATCACTGTTTTACAAGATCTTATGAATGAATCAACAAAGAAAAATAGTTTATATGTTACATTTCAGAAGAAAGTTAATCTAGAGTTATTTTTTTATTATGAACACGCTCCAACAAATTCAAAGTTTTTTCTTAATTGAAAAGAAACTTATGTTATGCAAAAAAGAAAAAAGGAATTTTAATGCTATTTTGCTTAGACTTTTTTAATTTCATTGTGTATGCATTTGAAATGACGTTTGTTTTATTGGGGAATTGAAAAACGAAAAAAAGAGAATATTATAGAATGACTTTGAATTCACTCGATTGAGACTCGCAGGTAAATGTAAACAAGATCTGAATGAATCTATAGCTTTCTATTATTTTTTTTTTTAATTAGCTTAAAATTAATTAAAAGGAAATGTTTCTATAACACAGTTTCTTCAATATCACTGTAAATATGTTTTCTATTACAGTCTCGTTACATTCTAATAACATTGCTATTGATGCACGATGGATCCAAAATGGTATTACAGTAGCTGGGGGTAATGGAAGAGGTAATGGCTTAAATCAACTTACTTCTCCAGTAGGTTTATATGTTGATGATGATCAAACTATTTATGCCTCTGATTATGAGCATCATCGTATTATGGAATGGAAATATGGTGCGATAAGTGGTCAAATTGTTGCCGGTGGAAATGGAGTCGGGAATCGAAATGATCAATTGAATGGACCAACAGATTTGATCATTGATAAAAAGAGTGATTGTCTTCTTATATGTGATTCTGGTAACAGACGTATAGTGCGATGGCCTCGTCGAAATGGTACAATCGGAGAGATTATCATCGCAGGCATTCGTTGCTCAGGACTAGCCATGGATAATAATGAGTATCTTTACGTCTCTGATTACGAGAAGCATGAAGTAAGACGATGGCGATTGGGAGACACACATGGAACAGTGGTAGCAGGTGGCAATGGACAAGGTTATCGTCTCGATCAACTCAATGTTCCTACCAGAGTCTTCGTAGATCATGATCATTCTGTATACGTGTCAGATAGTGGTAATCATCGTGTGATGAAGTGGATAAAAGACGCCAAAGAAGGCATTGTTGTTGCTGGTGGTCAAAATCAAGGAGATAGTTTAACACAATTGTCACAACCTCAAGGAGTGATCGTCGATCGGTTCAGTACTGTTTATGTGTCAGATTGGAATAATCATCGAATTATGCGTTGGGTGAAAGGAGCAACAAAAGGCTGTATTGTTGTTGGTAAAAATGGTAAAAGTAAACAAGCAAATCAACTTGATTATCCTGTTAGTTTGTCATTTGATCAGCAAAATAATCTCTATATTGCTGATCGTAACAATAATCGAGTGCAAAAATTTGAAATTGAATCAAGCTGAGACTGATGACTGCTGAAAATGATCTTAAAAAAATCTAAAGCATTTATTTCGAGTTCTGTTTCTGTAAAACAACGTATCAAATAAATGAAGTCTTTCAGTTTTAATTTAAGAATAATTGAAAAACAAATCATTTTATTTTCCGATATTATTCGTTGATTGAATTAATTTCCAGACGTCTACCCCATATCATCAAAATCGCGTCATTTGATGTGATCGATCGTGATTTGAGCAAAAAAATATTTACCAATTAATCGATGATTTCCAAAGAAACTTTAAGAGTTAGTATTAATTATTATATGAACATAAATAATCTTCTTTCTTTTATTTAGATTATCTGATCGTCTTAATGAAGAATAAGTATTACTTAATTGAAAAACCAAAAAAATGTTTTTGTACTATTTACTGTAGATAAGAAGAAAGAAATTATTCCTACGTTCATTAAAGCCTCGCATAACCAAAAACAAAAAAATCGTTCGATAATGGTTTTCATATTTCACATGAAAAAGCGAATTCTAATTTTCTCCTCTTAAAAACGATGTATAAAAATCAAGGATACAATAATCTATATCAAAGAAAAATTCTACCCATTCTTCATATCTAGTTTTAGTCATGAAACTTTCTGGTAATAACGAATGTGTCATAGTTTTTCTTTCTCATATATTTATTGTATCCTCAAGTATTATACATCATTGTGAAAAGAAGAAAATTCTGAATACAAAAAGTCAAATAGAATCATTACTTTACACCTAACATGAAAATTATTATCAAACAACCCTCTTTTTCTTTTTGAATCATGATCCAATGAAATGTAGCATAGCCGTAAATTCAATGCTAGATGTTTGTCTAACTTGAAAAAGTATTATATGTTACTTTTGAATTTATTGTTTTTCCAACTAGCAGTTCTCTTTTAGAGTTTTCAGACCTTGCCTGAAACGTTGATGATGTATGACACAAACCAAAATATAGAAAAAAGGTATACTCAGACATCTTTTTTTTTCTGAAAGAAAAGATAACTACTATCAGAATATATAAGTTGATGTTATATTTTATGCTATTGTTGTATACAATAATTTGGTACTTATGCAGAGTTTCAATTTGATTCTTTTCTCTTCATTCAGACTGGAGAGTGTGAGTTTGAGCTTTTCTGAAATATTCGCACCCACACCCATTGATAATTATCATATAATATGATTTGAGGGTCACTCTTTCATCGATTCATAGAAAGTAATTGATTTGTCTAGTTTTTGAGGCGGAAGCAAGCTGATAGGTGTGTGTGTGGTTTTTTTTATTCACTAGCACCTATGTGAACAATATGGCTATCATAAACACCTACTGATGTTTCTCGGTTGATTCTCATCCTATAGATCCTTCCACATTTGACTATTTCAACTTTTGTCTGTATGTATTATATTCGCTTTGGATTCTTGGTTCTATCTTATTGCTTATTTTTATTTCAACTTCTCTAGCGATGTTAAATTTCATCGTCTTTGTGTTATCATTAGAAACATATAAGAAAAAATTCATTTTTGCGACTAATCATTTCGATTGCATGAATTTGACAAGATTTCAATGAGGAAAACAATATTTTAGTTACATACAATTCTGATACGCATTTAGTCGCATGATTTTTTTTTCTTTCATCTACCAATTTTTTGAAGAAAATCATGTTCTAAATCTCATCATAAAATGATTGATGACAGACATGTACAAAGGAAAAAACGCTGTTTCTACTGAATTTGTCTTTTCCTTTGCTTCAATGTTTTTCAAACAAAGAAACACTCACTGTTTGCATTGATAAAAAACACAATAGTATTGTCGATTATGTTTTGTTTAGGTAATGTTATCATACACTTTTCTAACTAGTTGGAATGGATGTGGGTGTGAGTGGGCTAGTCTTCCATTGAACACCCACACCTTCCTCTGAAGCAATTGCTTTCGATTCAACTAAAAATACTCTTGATTTTATTTTTCATTGGAAAATATATACATGCAGCAGTCTCACATATTCTTGTTTAACACATTAATCTGATAATAATGATTGTTAATTGAAAAGAAGTACAGTTGAAAAGTCAATCTGATGAATCGAGTTCTATTCCAAGTCCTTCCGAAAGACGTTCAATATTTGATTCCATCTCCCACAGATCATCATGATCGGGAGGTAGACATTTTCTATAGATAGCTAATGCTTGTTGATAGTAATCAAGTGCCAATATAGGTTTATGAAGATTTTCATAAATTTTGCCTATGTTTGATAAACTATAGCCAATGTCTTTATGATCTGACGGTAGAACTTTGAGACGCATTAAAAAACATTTCTGTTCATATATAAGAGAGACTTCATATTCGCCTCTTCTTGTATATTCTTGTGACAAGCAATCAAGTGCACTAGCAATGAAGAGGTCTTTTGGAGATACACTAGCTTCTTTAATTAATAGACCTCTTTCTAAATATTCAACAGCGAGATCAAACTGGAAGTTTCTATTGAAGTTAACACCAATACAGAATAGACAATCAGCAATTTCAATATGGTCATTGGGATAATATTCTTCGAATATAATTAATGCTTGTTGATAAAATTCGAGAGATTCATCATATTTTGTTTGCTCAAATAGAGTATAACCGATGTTCTTGAGACTTCTAGCAATTCTAAATTGATCACTAGGCGCGTTATTTTGGAGAAGTGTTAATGCTTGTTGTTGAAAGTTGAGAGCTTCATCATATTTTCTTTGTAAAATAAGAATATTAGCGATGTTGCCAAAACTATAAGCAATTTTTACGTGATCAGAAGTATAATGGTGTTCTCGTATTATCAATGCTCGTTTTTGAAACTCGATAGCTTCATTGTATTTTCCTTTATCTCTTAAGACATTGGCGATGTTTATCAGGCTATTAACAATACCAACATGATTAGTTGCATCAAATTTCTCTCGAACTCTTAGTGCTCGTTGATAGAAGTCAATCGCTTCATCATATTTCTTTTGGCTATATAACACATTACCAATAGAGTTCAGACTGTTCGCAATATCAACATGAGCAAATTCATGATGTTTTTCTTGAATAGACAAGGCTTTTTGATGAAACTGAAGTGCTTCATCGTACTTATTTTGTTTATATAGAGTGTTACCAATGAAGTTGAAAGTACGAGAAGTTTCGATATGACCATCAGGATAGAAGCTCTCTTGTGTTGAAAGTGTTTGTTGATAATAGTCAATTGCTGCATCATACTTTTCTTCATGGTACAGAACATGACCGATACGATTGATGGTATCAGCTATGATGACACTTCCTGATGAATAATATTTCTCTTGAATCTCTAGTGCTTTTTGATGATATTCAATTGCTTTATTAAACTTTTGTTGTTGACGAAATACTGTGCCAATATTAATGAGAGTTATCGCTATGTTCACATGACCATCTGGATAATATTTCTCTTGCATTTCGAGTGCACGTTCATAAAATTTCAAGGTTTCATCGTATTTTTTCTGTCCAATGAGGATATTACCGATGAAATTGAGAGTATTAGCTATCTCATCTTGACGAGATGAACAATATTTGTCTTGGATTTCGAGTGCTCGCCAATGGTAATCAAGAGCTTCATCATATTTTTGTTGCTTGCATAATATATTCCCAATGTTGTTCATATAGCAGGAAATGGAAAAGTGATCGGATGAACTTTGTTTTTCGACAGTTGCTAGTGCTCGTCGATAAATAATTAGAGCTTCATTGTATTTTCCTTGCTTATAAAAGATGTTGCCAATGTTGTTGAGGCTACAGATCATTGAGGCATTACCTGAAGGATAATAGTTCTCTTGAATTATTAATGCTTGTTGACAACAGCATAGAGCTTCATCATATTTTGATTGACAAAATAATACATCAGAGATGTAATTCAGAGTGATAGCGATGTTAGCATGATAAGATGGATAATATCTCTCTTGAAGTGCTAGTGCTCGTCGATGATAATCAAGAGCTACATCATACTTTCCTTGTTTCCTTTGTATATAGCCAATGTTGTTTAAAATACGAATAATGTCATCGTTACCAGAAAAACAGTATTTCTGTAGAATTTCCAGGCTTTGTTCGTGGAATGTCAGAGCTTCACCATGTTTTCCTTGTTGAAGCTGAGCTATTCCTATACCACAAAGACTATAAGCTATATCGACATGACCAGATGGATAATGCTTTTGTTGTATTGTTAATGCATTTTCATGGATCTTCAGAGCTTCAGCATATTTGCCTTGGCAACAAAGAATGTAACCGATGTAGTTGAGGGTGAAGGCGATGTAAACATGGTCATTCGGATAATATCTCGTATAGATTGACATCGCTCGTTGACAGAAATCGAGGGCTTTATTGTAGTCGTTATTAGCTGTAAGAACATAAGCAATGCAGTCAAGACTAACAGCTATATTGATATGAGGTGATTGATAATATTTTTCGAACATTGCCAGTGCTTGCTGATGAAAAATAAGTGCTTCATCATACTTGGCTTGTCGAAAGAGGATTTTTCCAAAGCTGCGGAGACTTGTCGCAATATGTACATAACCATTAAGGTGAGTCTCGTTCAATTGTAACCAACCGGTTTTCTGTAAGTTTCGACACATTTCTTGTAACTGAGTTTTGCTTGACTGATCGCCAACAGAATTCATTCTGCTTGTCGTATTTTTCGAACAAAACCAGCGAGAAGCTTTTCGGAATTTTCCAGTGCCAAGTGGTCTAGAACATGGTTGGAATAATCCGCATGAATTCAACAAAATCGACCGAAAAGACAAGCAAATACGTCCCAGTACGTTGCTGCATGGACGTTTCGGTAGATTGGACCTATCAACCTGGGTAGAAGAATAATATTCCTTTCTCATGACAAATGTTCGTTCGTAATATTCACGA